AGGTAATATCAACCATCACTATTAAGAAGAATTATATGATACAAAAACAACATTTTTAAATTATCTATTAGATAATTAATGGATAATTTGCTAGGTGATAAGACTTCTTCTCACAAAGTTATGTATCACATATTGGTAACTCATTCATTATTCTCATATAATTTTGTGAAGCATCCTTTAATACACAACGATATCAAATCAAAGAATTATTTATATGGGATTCACCCATCTTAAGTTTAAGATAGAAGATATGGCAAGGTTCTTTAATTGTGATTAGATTATTTGCAAGTCTATAGTCATGGTAAAAACGATAGAATTCATTAAAAAATTATATCTATCTTTAGAGTCAAAGAACATATACATCTAACTCTAATGATGACAATAAAGACAACAATATCAATGTTATCAAAAGTGATCACTTCACCACTTACAGTGATGAAGTGAAATGATCAAAAGCATCATCACTTTAAATTTTTTTAAAGCACTTAACTTAAAGAAAGTGACTTTGTGGTGATCAAAGCAATCTGAAGTGAACAAAGCACTTTAAGGTTGAAACAATCACTTATTTAAAAAGTCCCAAAAAGACTAAAAAACTATTTAAATAAAAAAAACGAATAGCAATATTAAAGGTTATAATTGGAATTTTGACTCAAATTAGGGCAAAATAATTAAGCCTTTGGCCTTTGACTACCTATCCACTGCTTTTCTCTACAACTTCATCAACTTTCAAAGCCTAAACTTCATCAAATCAACTGTAATCAAAAGGTAAGTGTTTTCATGTTTCTTTTTTCTTTTTAATCTGTATATTCTTCTTCCCATCTCTTCTTCTTCTTCTTCATCTTCATCTTCTTCTTCCCTTATTTCATCATCTACATATTCTATCTCTCTCTCTCTCTCCCTCTCTCTCTCTCACTTTTCCTTTTTTTTTCTGGACAAATTTTAGCATGTGAAATGTAGAATTTAGTTCTACATGTATGAATTTATTCTACACTCGTTAAAATCTTTCTACATGTATGAATTAGTTTAATTCTCATGAATTAATTTAATTTATTTATATTTTAATTTAATCCAATAGTAGAAATTATGCTAATTTTGTTTGAGCATTTCTTTCTCTTTAGATTGAAAAGCATAATGGAATTTGAATCATCTAAGTCTAGCAACAAAAAGGAACCTAGATGGAAGTAAAACTATGCCAAGGATCCTAAGAAAAATTATTTCGTTACTTGTAATTTTTGTGGCTTCACTTCTTATAATGGCATTCATAGAGCAAAACAACACTAGATGGAAGAGTTTTCTAATGTGAAATAGTGTGTGAAAGTGCCATTAAAAGTAAAGAAAGAGTTGTGGGCTATTTTTCATGAGACACGAGAATTAAATGTGAGAAGTTCGCAATATGAACCCAAAAACTTTGACATTGGTGATGATACTCATGATGTTGAAGTTGAACAAAATACGAATTGGTGATGATACTCATGATGTTGAAGTTGAACAAAATACGAATTGGTGATGATACTCATGATGTTGAAGTTGAACAAAATACGAATTCAATGAGTAAAAGGGCATTAGTTGCAATGTTAGGTTTTTCTCAGACAAAGAGAACTAAGGGTCCAATGGATCTTTACTTGCATAAACCAAAAGAAGTTGAAATGAAAAAAAAAAAAAAAACAAGACAATGGCAAGCTAATACAATCTAACATTAAAGATTCTTCTAACCCTAAAGCAAGAAAAAGAACAATTCAGTATATTGCAAGGTTTTTTTTTTTTTTTTATCAAGCAAGCATTCCATTTAATGCAACTCCATTGGATAGCTTCAAGGTTATGATGGAAGCTATTGGTCAATATGATTCTGGCTTAAAGCCTTCAAGCTATCATGAGATCAAAGTTCCACTACTCAAGAAGGAAATGCAAATTACAAAGAATCTCATGAAAGCCCATCAAGATAAATGGGTAAAGACAGGTTTTTCTATTATGTCAAATGCATAAACAAATAGTAGACAGAAGTATTATCAACTTCTTGGTAAATTGTACTATTGGGACAATGTTTATGAAGTTTATTGATGCTTCTTCTTGTATAAAGACAGGTGATAAGTTACATGAGCTTTTTGATGCTTTTGTGGAAAAGATTGGAGAGGAAAATGTTGTCTAAGTGATAACGGATAATGGCAACAACTATGTGTTGGTTGGTAAACTTCTCCAAGCAAAAAAAAAAAAGCAGTTATATTGGACACCATATATAGCACATTGTGTGGACTTTATCTTGGAAGATATTGGGAACTTGCCAAATGTTAAAAGAATAATAGAGAAAGCTATCTTTCTAGTGGGCTTCATTTAGAATCACGATGTTGCCTTGAGTATTATAAGAACATCTATCTATTTTAAAGAAAAAGTAAGGTAATTCTTTTCAAATTATTAATTTATTTATGTTGATTTAATTTTTTATGCTAATATTCTTCTTCTTTTCTATAGGTATGGGATGACAAGGTTTGCTACAACTTTTTTGATACTAAAAAGGCTTTACAAGCAAAAGGCTAACCTTAGAAGAATGTTTACTTTAGACAAATGGATGAAAACTAATTTAAGCAAAGGAACTAAATGTAAAAGGGCTTATGAGATGGTCTTAATGCCCTCATATTGGAATGAGATTGTGTTTGCCCTCGAAGTAATAAATCCTTTGGTAAGGGTTCTTTAGTTGGTTGATAATGAAAAAAAGCCAACAATTGGCTACATTTAGGAAGCAATAGATAAGGCCAAGGAAACCATAGCCAAGTCTTTTGGTGGAAAAGAAGAAAAGCATTCTCATGTGTTTTCTATCATAAAAAATAGATGGGAAAATCAACTTTATCATCCTTTATATGCTACTAGACATTTGAATCTTGAATTCTACTACAATAATCAAGCAAAAATTGAATCAGATAAGAAGATTATTAAGGGCTTATATGATTGCATTGAAAGATTGATTCTGCTTATTAAGGATCAAGATAAAACCTTTAGTCAATTGCATAAGTACAAGGAAGCTGAAGGCATTTTCAGTTGTCCATCAGCAATAAGAAATAGGAAAAAAAATAGCACCTAGTAAATGCTTTTACAACTTTAGTTTAATGTATATTTTGTTTTTGTTATTGTTAACTATTAAACTTTATTTGATTGAGCATTCAGCAAGTTAGCAACTATTTAATTTATTTCCTCGCATTTGTAGCTGAGTGGTGGAGTTTATGTGGATTGAAACTCTTAAATTGAAGCAATTGGTTATTAAAATCTTAAGCTTAACTTATAGTGGTACTGGTTGTGAGAGAAATTGGAGTGTTTTTGAGCAAGTTTTAGTAATTTGGCTACAATCTCTTATTTCATTTTTTTTTCCACTTAATTTAATCTAACCATTCTAAATTCTAATTTTTAACTTCATAGCAAGAAGAGAAACAAGCTTGGGCACAAAAAATTATAAGATTTGGTTTTTGTCAAGTACAATAAATAACTTAAAGCTCATTATGATATCAAGGACATAATTGATCCCATTGCTCTTAATTATATTGATGAATGTAATGAATGGTTAATTGGAGAAATAAGTGATGGTGATGCTGAATATGAACGAGTTTTTGATGAGATGGAAGAATTTTTTTTGGGGGGGAGGGGGGTGTTGCTATAGCTTCTAGGGTTGAAAAGCCTAGAATTTACACTAGGCAAGATACTGTAGAAAAAACTGGGAGGAAAGAGGCTTCAAGCTCTAAGGCATTAATATTAGCTAGACCTAGATATGATCTTGAAGAGGAGGAAGAAATGGCAAATGCAAAGGATATTGAGAAGGAAGAGATAGAAGGCTACAACTCTAGTGGTGGAAATGAGAGCAATGATGATGCTCAAATAGATGCTGATAAGGATAATGATATAAATTTTAATTAAAACTTTTTTTAGAATTTTAGAATTTTAAATCGTTGAATGAAATGAAAATTGAAAACATTACATTGGTGTTTTAAGATTTAATATTGAAGACTTTCTTTGAAGTTTTTTAAATTCTCTTATTATAAATTTAAATACTATATTTTATTTTTCAGTTTTTATGTTTTGCTTAGTGCTAGACTGCTGGCGTTAAATTATTAAGCAAGACATTAAAGTTTGGTTAATTGATAAACACTTTGAAATAACTCCTCTTTTTATTGATCAGGATGTAGTGGTGTAAAAGACTTGAGGAGTTGAAGATTTTGTTGCAAATATACTCGCCGTTTTAGCAATTTATAATCAATCTTGTTTCTTTATAATGTTCTAACTATATACATTTTCAAGTTTACATCAATAAAAACAATTTACAAGCAAAATACGATTTTTATGCATCATAATTTTTAAGTTATTGGTTTTGCTTGTTTCAGTTTAAAGAAGTAATCGTTTTACTTTTGCTTCATCGTTTTGCTTCTCACTTCATCGCTTCAATATTTTTATGCCATTGCTTTGTCTCCTTTTTTTGCTTTGAGCAACACTAAATAATATTCTATTGAGTAATGATACATAAGAAGAAAAGTTGAGATGAAGATTTAAGATCAATTATGTGATATAAGATATATTAAATGCACCGAGCCCTTCGAGTCAAGTGGCAATAGCCACTCGTAGTGCATTTCTCTTGGGGGAAGGCTTGGGTTCGAACTCAGCCCCTTGTAAAAATATGTTAAAAATATATATATATATTAAATAAATTAATGTATATAATATTATAAATTTTAATAAAATAAAAATAATTAATTATTATATAATATAAAATTTATTTTTTAATTAAATGACAATTTATATCATTATCACTACCCTCAAATTTTGCTCCTTGCTTATCATTATTCCATTTTATTATTATTTAATAATTATTAAAAAAAAGTATACCACAAACAAATCCCGCCTGACGCAGTTTTAGGGCCTAATTTTTTTTTTTAATTTGTAATTTAACCAGGAATAAACGTTACATTATCCGAACATGATGCATTCAGGTTCAGGGACAAGACACCAATTGAAAATATCTCAAATAAAATAAATCCCGTTTAGTGAGTAGAATAGAGAAACACAAAGCGACCACTACCACTTCCTAGTAACGGTTATACTTTGTATTTAGTATCGGTTATATCCACCACGCAACCTAATTTCATTGTTATTCTCATCACATTAAACTCAGGTCATCACCACCCTGGTCGAACATCAGTAACAAAGATCACAATCAATGACACTAAACGGCCAAATTCAAAGCTGCACATTTCATCTCTTATAAGAAAATTGAAACAAAATATATAGAAGTGATCTTTTTGAACGAAACCAAACTGTGCACAGATTGCAGAAATTCCAAATAACTGGTGAAACTAAGTTTATTCGCTTCAACTAGACTCTGGGGCTGGAGCTTGAGCAGGAGGCTTCAAAAGGGGTTGTAGGGCCTTTACAACAATGCTCATGTTCGGACGGAACTCGGCTTCATACTGCACACACAATGCTGCTACAGCTGCCAGCTGCATCAATAAAAAATACAACAGAAAGTTAAAGCAAGTCCTGCACGTATGCATGTATGTGTTCCTGCTCCTGTACCAAAAAAAGCATAAAATAAATGCTAGTGCACGTATGTAAAAGAAAAGAGGGGATACCTTTGCAACTCCTTTGGGAGGATATTCTCCCTTCAACTTAGGATCTACACATTGTTTAACTTTGTCTTCACTAAGTCTTGGAGTGGCCTAATTAAAAGAAATTTTGATCATATTAGAAAATCTTTGAATAAAACAAGACCAAGAGCTGCTAGATAAAACAAGAAGGAATTATAAAACCGAATATATGGAGGAGCCGCTCACCCAGGTAACAAGACTCTGTTGTCCACGGGGCATGGTATGATCAACAGGTTTCCTCCCAGTCAGAAGCTCCAAAAGGACAACACCAAAACTGTATACATCACTCTTTTGTGTCAACTGCCCAGTCATTGCATACCTGCAAAATAGTGCCAGCTACAAATTAGTTACAAAAATTAGTTACAATAATCTGTAACCTAATAGAACTAAAATTTGACTATAAAAAATGCATGAGATATCATCTGCACATTCAGAAGAAAAACGTCTTAAACAGGAATTTACATCATGATATTGTCATCTGTTCCAGAAAAGTAAAAGTTCACATGACTTACATCCCACATTTATCGATAAAACAAAAACTCTCACCTGGATTGATTTTTACTAGCTTTCTTTATCTTTCTCTTTTACTTTTTTTCTTGTAGCAATTCCTCTAGTAATAACTAATTCCTTCCATGGATATCAACGTCAATTTGTTTACTAGAAATTGATCGTGAGAGGGAACTTGTACTAACAAGTCAATGATGCAAAGCCATACAAGGTCTCTATGGCAAACATGTTTCAATCACGAGATCTACTGATAGATCAGTAAATCAACGATCATCTAGACTTTTAATGATTTCTGTCCTTGAACCTACGTTTGAACGTTCCAGCATCAGTCTTATATTCTACTTTAGGAAAGCATTTCAGAGGAAATAAATACTCCAACCATTGAAAACTAGCAATAAAAGAAATAGATAGTCATAAATACATCCAATTTATAGCCAAAGGAATTCTTTCTTCTTTTGTCTGCTTGGTGTGACATCTCCCTTGAATCAACAACGGTAAACAGTGTTTTCAGAGGAGACAACTATTGTTGTAGCTGTGAAAAACTTATTAAAATAACTCTTTATAAACACACCAAGTTTATCAGATTACTTTCAACTTCTTCCACTATTAGCATCAATAAACACATTTTATTTGGTTGACCAAGAAAAAAAAAACATGTTCTATTGTAAAGTTACTTGAAATTCTATTTAGTGCCAATAAAAATGCTTCAAATTCTATCCGAATACCAATCAATCTAATAAGGACTATTGTATCTTAAGCAAATGGTTATCCTTTCATTCTATAGGTACCATGGCAACAACAATATTCTGGGTAACATTCTACATCTAATAAGGATTTTCAACTGTTGCAGGCTCCTCTAAGAAAGAACAAAACTAAAAAACAGAGTAGAGAGAAAATCAGAGCAGACTAATTAAACAGTGATATTTTGCCAATTCTTCTCCCCATAAATGAATAAAATAAAATAATTGCAGTGAAGATGGGGAAATTACAGTCATAAACATGGAAGAACAGTACCTTACTCGTATATCACAGGTTACGTAAATATTTTTAGAAACAATAGATAGTTTTTTCAGGTTGTATTAAATCTTTCCTTTATTAACAAATAACAACAAAAATAATCTAAAAGGTTTGGAAGCCTTACTCTGGAGCATGATAGCCAAAGGTCCCCAAAACTCGAGTAGAATGAAGGCGAGCAGCCATGTCAGGAGACTGATTTGAAAGGTTGAAATCTGCAACCTTGGCTTTGAAGTCTTCAAAGAGTAGTACATTGCTTGATCTTATATCTCTGTGTATTATGGAAGGTTGAACCTTCTCATGCAAGTATTCCAAGCCCCTCGCAGCATCGACTGCAATTCGTACCCGCTGCATCCAATCAAGCACCGGACCTGGTTGTGCCCCTTGAACTCCCTTCCTTCCTATAAGTGCCACAATATAATAATTAATAATCAAACAAAAGACATTTATTTAACAATATGATAATGATAAGAAAGAAGGCTTTGCATACCATGCAATATATCATGTAATGATCCCATTGTTGCAAACTCATATGCAAGCACACGCAGATTTCCTTCAAGATAATAGCCTTGCAATTCAACAAGATTTTCATGCTTCAACCTTGAAACCATAGAAACCTAAAATAAGGATGATTAGTTTAGTCAAGGATGCTAACAAACAAAACACTAAGATAGAAACAGACTTAAATAATTATGGAACACATTTATTTTAAAACTATTACACACCTGGGTCAAAAACTCCACATTTGACTCAGGCTCAGTTGAAACATCAAGCTTTTTAACAGCCACAGCTTTCCCACTATTTAAGTTTGCATAATAAACTCTTCCATAGGATCCTTCACCAATCAATGCTTTCGATCCAAAATTGTCAGTCTTTTCTTTCAATTCTTCCAAAGACAATGCAGGGACCTCAATAGGCAGTGGTGCTGCTTTCTGAACTTCAGCTTTGACAGGAACTGACACCTTTGAACCCTTTGGTTGGCCTAAACATACCATGTGAAATGATAATACATTCAAGATGCAAAGCAAGTAAAATGCAAAATATGCTCAATTATATAAGTAACATAGAAAGAAATAGAAGGCAAGCAAGTAAATAAGGAAAAATGATTAGAACCGTCTTACAGATGAATTCATAGTCCATTTGGTGAAAAATAAAAAGGATGAATTCACATTTCATAACCTGAATGAAATGAATTTATATTGGGAGCTGTAAAAGAAAAGTTTTAGGAAAGAAAACTCAGAGTCAGCATTTGATTGATGCAATAACGAAGGCCTTTGTTGAGTAAATTTGCTTTCTATTTCACTAGGAGATAGAAAAAGCAGTAAATAACAACTTTCACCAGATTCGAGAGTAGAACAAAGTATGTTATTCACGGAAACTCTTATCTTTAATGTTAGACAACCTTTTCTCTTTAGTAAATTAAATTTTGCTTGAAACAGACTACTTATAACCTTTAATCATGATAACTAAAACCCAATTAAGAAGAAAGAAGCCAGCTGAATTAATCTCTAGCCCTAATCTCTACACCTATAAAATTGAAGCCATAACATGACATAACATAAAACAAATTCAGGGGCCATATGGTGGGGTTTTTTCAGAAAACTTGCTTTTTATCTCACAAATTTGAAAATCTATTGGAGGGAAAATTTGAATTTGGCTTTTTAAGTGACTTTAAAATTTTCCCTCCAATAGAATTTCAAATTTGTGAGAGTTGCTTAAAAGCAAATTTTGCTAAAAAGCTACACCAAACAACCCCTTAGATACGTATGAGCAAAAAAAATAAATAAATCAATCTCCAAAATCCTGTTACTTCCAATGTTATTTGATAAATGAGGAAATGGTGTAACATCCCTTCCCTATACTGATCAATATAGTGTAGGTCCATTACTGCACTTTGAGGTAGAGACTAATTTGGAACTTGGCAGAACCTAAAAGTGCAGGTTTGCATGGCCAACTTTTAGAAACTTCTTAAGTGGAGTTGAGGATGGCAAAATGCCTTGATTCCTGCAGTCCCTATAGAGCAGTGGAATATTCTTCATCATGAGGGTAGGGAAGCCAATTTTTTCCCATGAATTTTTGTGGGGAATTTTCATCCCCAAGCCACTTGAAAAACTAAAAAATATAAAAATTATTTTCTTCTAAAAGACTTTTTCACATAAAAGAAAGAAATGATGATAATTATGTAGTAAATTGCAATCTAGTGACCAATTTCTTGTACTTGCTATTTTAATAACTAATTTTTTCTTACAGAGATAATTCAAATCTTTTTTGGTGACCAATTTGTTTCTATGCAAGTGATAATTAGACACAGCCATCGCCACCTTGTTGCCATCCCTAATTGGAGTACATGTTTAACTCCATTAACAATGTCAATTAAATATGACATGTCACATTGCTAGAGCTAAGCAAAGTGGATTGTATTAAACTCCACTGAAACCAAGCTAGCATAGGCATGTGAATGTCTAAGGCATTCAGCCATTTTACTCTTCTTAATTGCTAGTTCTCTTCTTAGTAGGTGTATGTTATATGGTGAACAAACTAACACTGGACAATAACATTTTATAAACATAGGCATGAAGGGTAAGACGAATTCAGATAACTACCATAGGAAATGCAGGCTAGTACTGAACATGCAATTGAATCATGAGCTACTAAATGTTATGTTTTTTATATGCTTAGGCTCTAGGAAGCCACTGTGTTAGTTATGATCTTTTATGTACAAGTATGTGAAAAAAAATGTTATGGCATGTTAAATGGGTTAAGGAATTGCCATGCATAACTATGTCCTCTACTATGATTCTTTATGCTTTTGAGTATCTTATGCATGTTTGATGTCCGAATGCTATGACCCATACTGCATGCTGTTTGTACTGAAGTTATGAAGATATTTGACCAAAGCTTACAGTTTAGGTAATTTCTGGACTCTTTAGAGTATATAGTGCACAATGAGGATATGCTGAGACTAGCTCCAGCATTAGTGTGCGCACATGCACATTTACTGGTGCAATTGCTGCTTGTCATGTTTACAACTGGTTTATACTCTATATGCCTAAATTTATAGTGTAGTGATCAGCATGCAATTTTGATGATATTATTTGCCAATGCTAAGCCTCTTGATTATCTATCTAGTTGAGTTAACACCTAATCATGTTCTGCTCTGCAACTACAATGTAATGCATCTGTCTAACCTGTTTGTTATAAATTTTAGTATGTTGTCTAAAATCTGTTACGTTAGATGAGTTACAACTGTTTTAAGACTTAATAATTCAGTTATAGCCTAAAGGTATAACCTACACTTCTCGAGCTCACTCCAAATTCCTCTACTCCATTTCACATACCTGTCACAATGCAGTCATAGAGCGTGAAGACACTATGTTTATTGTGAGCCATCTGGTGACAGCTTTTGAGTAAGAAAAATCTGCAATTTACCAAATTCTGGTGCCTATGTTCTGCAACACTGCATACTATTTTCAATCTGTTTTGAATTCTTAACCTGCTGGATTTATTATGACTCTATCATGTGCACTCCAAGACTTATCTTCTAGAACTGCAATTTAAACCATCTGCTGGCTTAAAAACTGACTTCTTGATTTACTTTGATATTTCTATTAGAACTTGACTGATTTCCATATTTTACCTTCCTGTGCATTTAATTTGTCTTTATAAGCATAGATCTTCTTATGATCTGTCATTAGTCTTACAAAATCTTTAGACATGATTTAAGTTTTTCTATTCTACTTCGAAACAATTATTTCAATCCCTTCAGATCTTTAGATCCAAAAACTCTTTTCAAAAGCATGCATGATTATGAGTTAAGCTAGTCACAGCCCATCCCAAGTAATCCATTGGGATTCCAGAGGGTGAGTCATGACACTGTGAGACTTGTACTTTTCTTCTCAAAAATTAATTAAGTTTTTCTTATAAATAGTTCATAACATAAAAACAATACCAATAGTAAAATGTATATATAACAATTAAAATACAATTACACCTAAAATGAATTGGTGATGGAATTCTTTTTTTTTTTTTTTTACCCTAGAAATGGTTAGGGAAATTAAAAAGAGAAATTCACTTGGAATACCATTGAGATGATAGAATAAGACAAACTTACTTCATCTAGAAATATAAATACTGAAGCCATTATAAAAGCTTCAAAGAACAAGACTAACAAATACAAAAGCATGCCTCATCGCATTTCATATCCACTGGAGTACAGTCAATATTGCTAGGAGTAAAAATTTAATTTAGCAGCATTTTTATTTGCAAAACTTGATTTTCCGATTTATGATTCATCAATCCCAAGTCACAAAATGATAACCACCAAATCTAGAACTCAACTCCTTACAACCATTTTTTTCTTCATAATTTCATACTTTTAGGAATAAATATAGCTGGTGGCAAAGGGAGACAAATACCAAACTGATAGAAGAATTCAGATGGCTCATGACCCTAAAAATAAGATATTGGAGAGCCATGGGAAGAAAATGCTAATAGTGATAACTGAAAGAGGTGAAGAGTCTGTATTATCAAGGATTTAGGAATAATAATTTAGATAGTTGATTGAAACCGAAAGTCTTCAAGGTAAATTTTAAAATAGCTTTAATTAATGGTTAACTAGCAACCAAAAAAAAAAAAAAAATTTAAAGAATGCATAAACCAAGATCCAAAAGCTGTTTAAATATGCTAAAGGAACCAAATGAGGTTAGCAGAGCATTAACATACCGTCTGAATGGTTTTTGGGGCTTTTCAGATGCTCACCCTCATTTGAAGGGTAAGACTCCTCCACTTCACAAGTGCAACACAGCCACTTGCGCATCCTCGTTCTCTTCTTCAGATACAAATTGTTGTCAGTATTTTCTAGACGTACAAATTGGCCAATAGGAGGTGCATGTATCTGCGTTGTACCAAAAATATTAAGTCTACATGAAATCATAAGAGAAGACCTGACACATATATTCTAAAACCAAAGAAAAAAGAGTTATGGTAATTAAACAAACTTGCACCAACGTAATTACTGCTGGGCTTGGAAGCAACTTTCAGCTAAATTCCAGGAAAAATGAATTATAGATATGCTGTTATCATATTGTTGAGAATCAGCCTTCACTATTTATTCTTTCCATACATTACAAGTATACACAAATTACAAGATCTGATTCTTTTTGTTAAGAGATATCGGGAGATATGCATTAATAGCAATTGAGTCAATTATGATAATAGGTGTTAGTTGATTTGGAATTATTATAGATTGATTTAGGGTTTCATGGTCAGTGGGTCAGGTAAGCCTTATAAAGGCTCCCTATGTAATGGTCTTAATATCAAAATATCAAAGAATAATAAAGTAAAATGCCTTTCTGCCAGTTTTCCCTACCAGCGTTTCCATGTTTAATTTTGTTAATACAAATATCTCAAGTGATAAGAAAATATTTTGACAAAATTCAAAGAGGTGTCAGCAAGCAAGACACATGTGTAAAACAATCATTAACCACTCAATGCAAGTCCAGGTCAAAAGTTTAAACGAGGGACATGCATATAATGGGCAGTTTTGTCCTTTCAATCAAATTAAAATAAGAGGGTATCATAACCATTTCATAATCCAAAGGGCAGGCTTAAAATTCAAACATTTAAACAACTTCCATACAACCCAAATAAGAACAGAAAATATGTCACCCACCAAAATTACTCAAATTTAATCAGTTAGAACCAAAGTTTCAAATTCAAGCATAATAATGGCATTGTAGTCTTTCCACTTGCAAATATAAATTTTTGAGATCCCATAATTACAAGGGCATTCAGTCATCTAATCAAGCCTGAATTGATCACAAAGCATATTCAAACTAATAGTAACATTCAAAATTAATGGCCAAATATTTCAGAATAAACAGGGATTGAAAACACCTTCAACCAAGGAGACATTCAAAACTTTTAAATACCAACAATAGTATCAAAGTTTCAAGAACATGCAACAAGTTCTACCAAAGAAAAACTTATCAAGATTATGCTGAACAGAAGTACACAATTAGACATTTGCACAGAGAAGCGATTTGTATCTTTTCACGGAAAAGAACACTTTCTCAATTCATGTAGGAGCAGAATTATGACCCTTACAGAACAAAGAACATGACATCAACCTATCATTGAACAAACATGGCCATATATGGTAATTTATTCTTAGATGCAACAAGGAAGTTCTACACTTAAAGCACTAACTCCAATATTTGAAATATCTTTTAAATATGGAAAATAAAGAAATTACACTTCCAAGTCCTATGATCAAATAAAGTTCACGCTAACAGAATTTCTAAACTCAGGTAGCTTGAAATGTCTTTCAAATTGGACCCTCTTCCGATCTTATCAAAACAAAATTTTCCATAAAGTTCAAGCTAACAGAACTTCTAAACTCATGCACCCATAAATGTGTTGGCTGTTCAAAAAGAAAAAAAAAATTTTGAACGTCAAAACAGGCTGTTAATCAAAATAATTACATCATTACCAAACCCAAATGTTAAGATGTGAATGACCAAAGCTCAGATCAAACATTAACTCAATGGAAAGGAAGCATTTTATTCAAAATGATGGAAATCATAATACACGCAAAATATTTTGACAGTGCCATAAGACATGCAAACAATTAGGACAGTGGAACATGCAAAAATCAAAAGAATAACCATGCACAGAGAGTAAATGGCCTAAGCTGCTTTTCCAGACATTAAAACGACCATTAAGCTATAACATTTTTGAAAATCACCTCATTATTATCATTAATGCCAAAAGTTCTACCATATTAGAAACTAACTACTTCTATGGTTTTAGAAATTAAAAAGGGAGCTCCTATTTGGATGAATTTAAAAAATCATCCTAAACCATTTAAATTTGATCACAAGATGGTCCTATCCACTAAAATCAGATTTAATGCTACCAAAGGAGAATAAAAAGTTGATTTCTTTACCAGTCCTTCCTCCACAAGGATGCAGCAAAGCGTTCAAAGTTTCCTCCACCTCAATCTACAAGCAAAAAGGAAAGTGCAACTTTTGTGAATGAAAATGGAGATGGAAATTTTATTCCTGATCCTGAAAATTCACTACATGAAAGAATGCCCTCATTTCAAAGAACTTAATATGAGCAAGAAACAAACCACGGCAGGATTTAAACTGGTGCTAAAAAGAACGAACAAGAAAGTAAAACCATAGATTTGATCATAGAACTGAAATGAGAGGAGCAAAGGATCAATTCAGTTGGCAAGGTGGGACTTGGGAGGTTCATTTCCCCTTTCCCAGAACCAAAAGGACGATCTTCATGAACAAAAGATAATCTACCATAAAAGGAGAATTCAACAAGAATAGCCAAAACCTCGCAGCATGAGAGAACAGCAACATGGAAAAATCTGAACGGAAGGTCAAGCTGTTTATTAAACTTCTTAAAGAAGAACAAATCGAAGGAAAATAAAAAATAAAAAAAAAATAAAAAACAAGAAACATGCAGTTCTTAGTTAGTAATCAGCGAATAACGCAGGAAGAAGAATCTGAGTTAATAGTGACATGAATGTCTGCAGTGGAGAAACGAGAAAGATTAAAGGAAGAAAATCAACATTACCTAAAAATCTCAACTCCGTCCAAGAAATCCGCAATTCTCAACCCAATCCAAAAATGAGACTCGATCGCGAGAATACTGTAAGTAAAAAAAAAAATCAAACGAGAAAAAGAAATCAGGGCGAAGTAAAAATGGAAAATCAATCATCTAAGCTCGATTGCAGAATCGTTGTTCAAGTTTCTCATCTTGTAAAATAGATAATGATTCCAAACCTGAATTACTCCGATTTTCTCGTTACAAACACCAGTGTCGCCGAAGCCGCGACGATCGGCCGGGATGATGAGGTGATATAAATCAATTTTAGAATTAGGAATAGGAAGGGACTGAATGAGATAGATGGGAAAGGGAAAGGGAAAGGGAAAGGGAAAGAACCTAAGAAGGGGCAGATTCGGCAGGGGAAGAGGAATATAAGAATTAGAGGGAAGTATATGGCGGTTTATAACCAATCCCTAGCGTTTTCATTTAGTGAGAAAACGGTCCCTGAACTTTTTGGACACTTTTTTATCCTTCAATAGTCAACTCTCCATTTTTGTACTAAATCGGTTCCTCTATTAACAAATTGCTGATATGGTAAATTAATTTAAGATATACTTGGTTTGAGAGAAAGGTAGAAAAAAAAAGATAATTTTTTATATTTTGTCATCTAAAATATTGAAAACAGGTGGAGGAAAGCTTTTTACTTTATTTTTTTACTTTTGAATTTTTTCAATTATTATAGTTTATTGAAATGAGAGAATTAAAAACTCTTTTTATTT